GGAGGGGGAAGGGGGTAAGCGAGTAACAGTTACGCTGCATAAAGACGCCTTTGTAACCTCAATATCATCACGTACAAACTATCAAATTTTCAAAATTCTTTTTTAAAAATGTCAGCTTGATTTAAGGCTAGTGATTCTGACTTAGATAATAGCAAGATTTTTATTAATTTACTGGTTTCAAACTTTTCATGTCGCACTTTCCGGGAGGTTAAAGTCAAAATTTCGAAAATGAAGTGTTTTCTTTAATCCAGATTAATCCAGATCTGAGTTGTAAAGGCAAAGCAGAAGTTGTAAAGGCACAACAGATATTTTTGGCCTATCTCAAGTTGTCTCATACTGCGCATACCACTCAAAAAAAAAAAAAATAAAAAAACTGAAACCAAACATGCTCTATTATTTGCTTTCAGCAAAGCGCAGGATCACGCAAAAGTAGTTCATGTGGTATTGTGCTCTAATAGCAACCATCTTCCTGGAAAGCTAACAGCTGACAGCTTTCTTTCCTGGAGAATTTTTAGAGTCAGTACGATGGCCCGTTGATTAAACCTTTGAAATTTAGGGCCTGTAACTTTATTTACTCTCAGCATGTTAAACCGACCGGCTTTTGACCTGGGATCAAAGATTCAGATGCAAAAATTGGGGAGTTGAAAGTTAATTTCATATTCTCTCGAAAAAACAACTTTCCAATCTAAGTGCTTCGTGAGCTCTTTTACAATTTTCCAGTTTCTGCGGTTTTTAGTGTCTTTTATTTCATTGTAACACATTCAAACAGACTGCTACAATCCTTCCACAGTGCAAAAACGCATAACGAAAAAGCTTTTTTTTAAACGAAGTCTATACATAAGTTTTAAAATGTAGATTTTATGGTGCGGAAATAGCGGTTGGTTTATTTTTCCTGCATTCGCAAGGTATTATCTACCGCGATCTGAAACTCGACAACGTCATGCTGGACACTAACGGTCATATCAAAATCACTGATTTCGGTATGTGCAAGGAAAATATCACTGGTGATGCAACTACCAAAACGTTTTGTGGCACACCTGACTATATCGCTCCTGAAGTAAGCCTTGCACTTTGTTGCCTGTTTCTGTGTGTCATTTTTTTCCCTGTCAGTTGATCCCTAATTAATTTATATGATTCGGTGCACTGAGCTATTTCCAAATCACTTGCGTACCAGGAAGAGTAGGGAAATGAGGAAAACTGAGCAGGCACCCTTTCATTTCGAAAGGGTTAATTATCCAAAAAAGAGTTTGCATTTAACAATTTCGATTATTCCATTTTTATCTTGCGTTACTCACGATTTTTTTTTTT